ATATATATATTAATAATTTTAGAGTCCGCCCTTCTATAAATAACATCTGAACGAATGAATTCCAGCAAAAGATGGCATATGAGTAGTTGTGTTCGAAGAAGAAATATTTGCTAAGTAAATAAAATGTTCATATGAGGTTATATAACAATAAGTATTTAGTAGCTCGTGTTCCATAACCCTAGTTATATGTTTCAGTTGGCTATGGCTTGTGTTTACAAAGTTCAGTCGCGTCCGTTACTTGTTATATATCAATCTAATGACCAACACGGTATATCTCTTTCATACCTCGAATAGGCGGGCCCATTAAACCACTACGCTTCAATTAGACGTAGCAACACAATATATCATCGTCAACAGAGATTCCGGTGTTCTCTTCTATAGTCGATCTCGGTACCAAATACTAATGGAAAGAAAGTAGTCCTGCCTCATCAGATAACGAAATTGGATATTGCTTAAAAAGAAGAATCCTTAAATAAATTCCAAACAGTCGGTGTTATTAACCCAAGCTGAATTAAATCTTTTATTAAGATTGTTTAAGCGTAAATTATAATTATTTTCATAGGTATTAATTTTTAACAGTAGACTAACATTATATTTGTAAAAGGCCGCAAATTTTTTGGCAACTTTTAAATATCGGCATTATTTTTAAATATTTTTAATTTTAAACGCAACAAATTTTATATTTATGATTCATACACAAAACTTGTTTTGTTTTAGTGTTAAATTATGATTAGAAAAAAATTCACAAAGATATAAGTACAAGAAGTACAATTTTCGGATATTTCATCAATTTCATGAAATATATTGGAAACTTTTATAATTCATGCAGCAATAAGATATGGTCACTCGACTTCACAGACAAAAGTTCACAGTCAAGGGCAAGTAAAAGCTAAATAAAATCTGTGCAAAAAAGATTCAAACATTTGAACAGGAGGGGAGCAAACAAAAAATTGCACAAGGGCACAAATTACCTTGACGCAGCTCTGAAATTGGTGATTGCTGTCCGTTTCCGGCGACTCTTTACGCTTTGCTATTGTACAGTGGTCGCGTGTTTTTTTTATTTTCTATTTTTATTTACTAAACAGGTTGAAATTCATATCTTCTATTCCTTATTTCTTTCCTAAAAAAATTTTCTTTTAGTTTTGCTGCTTCTATCGCATCATAATATCGCGCATATTTACGGAACATATTATTTGAACAAATAGTAGACAAACGTATTGTAGAATACAGAATATACTCTCTTTTTCTATACTACTGCGTTTACTTCTCTCCGGCCTCTTCCTTTTTTCTAAACTCTTAGTTCACTCCGGCGGAGAGAACTAATCCCCAACGGTTACGGGAGTAGCTGATTCACTAATTATTTATTGTTTTCTGGATTGTAATGGTAATTATTCTCGGATGTGTCGTGCAAGTTACAACTAGTAGGCGGCAGAGTTGGTCTCCACTTGATGCGTGAGATCTGGCGCCGATCTAAAGTCAACTATCGTGGATTTCCCCCTCCGTGTATCCCTCCAGTGGAGCACCGTCCCCACCGTGACAGAATTTAAGATTCGGATAGGTAGTGTAGTGCGTATAATTGTGTGTGTATGTGTCTGAGGGGAGGGGAGAGAACAATAATGAAGGCAAGATTACGTACAATCTGTTACTCGTTTCTTAAGGCTCCGCATTCGCCTGGTATTGATTGGAGAGTTCACGGAGAACTACCTATTCGAACAGCCGGCCACCAGTGTTCTCCTCTTCCAGGCAGCGGAAAAAATCGACTTAGAGTAGAAAATTTGAAGAAGTCGAACTCGAACCCTAGAACATGCCCACCAGAGACGCTGTAGTGTCATTACAGTTTTTACACTCCGTTATCGCTGCCGGTATACGCGTTTTGCGCAGTGTTCGAATGGGAAAAGCAAGGAAAACGTCGCTAGCGCACATTCTCCGTAGCTTTCTGCGCTTATGCGATGGCAGATGATGAAAAGAAAGACACACGACGTTTGTTATCGTTTGTAGTGGCACATGTTTACTTCGTTTTATATTACGCCTCTACTCAGCATTTACTCTCTTGTCGCCGTATTCCTTCAACTCTTGCAAATTGAGGTTAAACGGGCGACGCTTCCTCAAACAGCAGTAAACATCTCAAACGCTGATAATTTAGCCAGTATTTTCATCTCCACGGTTTTTTTGCTAAAGTAATACTTAATGGTAAGTATACATTCGTATATACAGAGTAATATACGTAGAATAGGGAAAGTTATGAAATGCTGCGGAAAATAGATTTTGAGATTTCAACAGAAATATCTTTTGGTGTCCCCTCCTACCGAAAAAATAATTTCTCAAATTTTCTGTCCGTTTGCCAGTCCGCCTATCCGTCCCGTCTGTCCACACGTCTGTTTGTTCTATTTGCCTGTCCGTCCGTCCGTCTGTCCGCCCACCCGCCCGTCTTTTTTATAAATTTTAGATTGACACAACAATTTCAACGTTCTGAAAATAAGAAATATATACTCCGATATAATATACAACGAATGGCAAAATTGTCAATTTATTGCTTTAGTTTTTTAAAAAAAAATTGAAAGATTCAAAAAAGTGTTTTTGGAACGTAAAGACTTCGAAACCTAAAAAACATGACAAATTGTTTTAGTAAGTCTTCAATAGCCACTACGATTTTATTTGTTCAAAATATTACAAAAACTGAGAAAATAGTTATTTATGAACAGAGAGCGCTATTAATGATTTATTATAATTCTAATGAACGAGCGTCAACAAAAAGTCAGAAGACCTTTGGATCTAGATCATTTGAACCACTAAACGCCCGTGGTACAAACACGAATTTAATTTTTTCCTAATTGTAAAGTTCAGATTTACTTTTTACTATTTAACTACTTCTTAACATGTGCTTTTTGGTCTTACGTTCACAAAATAAGAAACGACGACCACAAAATAAAAAATGTTAGATTCCCTTTCAAATAACCTTTGTTACTATTACTTTAAATTTAGAGGTTGCATTTCTTAAGAAAATCACATTTTCAACTAAGCAATTGTCTCTAGAGCAATTATAAATTATGTCACAATGGTAAAAAATGGTTGATATTTTTATTCAATTTCTCTACAACCAAATAAATGGTTGCCACCAACGCTGTAAAAATTAAGTAAACATTTAGTTATATTACGCACATAATAGTTTTGCAAGACGAATTTGTGTCACTGAATTACTAGTTCAGCTGTTCATCGGCTCACCAATTGTTATGACTCTTCCATAACTGTAGTCAATCTACTCGTACATCAACACACGGATATTTGTCATTGCCCAAGTTCTCTTCCCTACTCAAACTAATTAAGAAGCTTAATAATGACTTAACACTGCAAAGAATATAATAAGAGCATTCTGAATGTTTGCCTTTTTCCAAGTATTATGCCAACCAAAGAAATAACATTTAATTTTGGTTTTCTCAATCCTTTTGGAAATGACAAGAAGAAAAAATTAAAACGATCGATCACAAAAAATCACTCCTCTCTTGGTATATAACATATAAATAAATTATTAATTGGTTCGATAAAACCATTTTGAACGAAAATGATAAATAAGAGTTGTCGTTATTGATCGTGACACGGTCAAGTCCCCCTAAGCTATCGATACCTGGTTCGGTATTAGGTTATGCCAAAGGAACGGAATCAGGCAAATAGTGGTTTTTGCACATAGAAATATCGGAACGAAGACAAACAGATTTAAGTTTTTCTACAATGACACCAACACTTAAAATAATAGATATCCAGACGCTTAATAAGAAGAAAAAATATTGTTTATGACGTACTAGTAAAATTTACTTTTTTTACGACAATGAATTTACCCATTTATGGTCTTGTGAATCGTAGACTTATATATTTGTTGTGTGATTGTTTTTGTAACACTAGCGCAAAAATAAAACATATAGATTTCCTTTATGTACTTTACAAAATCAAATCAATGATTTTGGTGAATATATTACTAAATGTGACTCGACGGCCTCTTAAGGAAACAAAAATAAAAGCATTAACTAACTCTCCCTCCTCTTTTTCTTCCTAATCTATGACTGGTAGGGTAAAGAATGGCAACATTTAAAGAACAGTTTTAAATTTAAAATCTAACACTAAATCACAATTAAATTTAATATGACCGTAACCTCTGCCTTACGAAGTCTGCAAATGTTAAATATTAAACTTGACGAGCCGCTTAAGAAAATATTTTGGCAAAAATACCTTGGGAACTGGATGAAAATGATATTAATTCTGAAAAAAAAACAACTAAGGTCTAATTTGTGAAACGTAAATAAACTAATTAAACCTGATTTTCGTTTTAGTTTTGGTAATTGTGTGACATTGCAGTTAGTATTCCTATAGCATTGCATATTTGTCTGCTGTATTCCAGAAGAGGTATCGGAGCAAAATAATGAACGTGCTGCTGATACACGAAGTTACTGGACATCTTTCACAAGTGTTGTAATTTACAGAGCAAAAAGTTCGTGTTCGTGTTTGGAACTCTGAACAAAATGGTGTAGAATTTGAACAAGAAAATAATGAAATATTTTACATCCTCGTAATAACCATTGTGTTCTGACCATTTACTGTCACGACATGACCTCGAAACATGAGCTTCTTGCAGTAATCTTCGTCGTAATTGGAACATAAATGTGTACAAAAATAGTCAAGGAGATCCGGGTTTCTCAAACAATTCCAATGGCGTGAATCGCAGTATTTTTAAGCACCAATGTAATAGATGCTCATAAAATACGTTTCTCATTATTCAGTCAATTAGTTTTACTCTGACTATTGAATAATAACTTATGAAGAATTCTATTGAGTTCTTAGAAGTGTACTTCGCAAATGAATACTTAGGAAGCCGCTTGTTACGTTATAACAAAATTTAGGTGATTAATTATCATCAGTAATAGCATAATACGTTAAGGGAAAATGTCCATCCCTCTGTAGTGGTGTTTGAATTTGGCAATACAAGGTCTCAGTCTCTCAAAAGCAAGGTGCACCTTTCTTACGTACATTTATTTTTTGCGCACAGCATCTTTGTAGTTAAAGTTACACAAGCCACAGTTATTGTTCGTGAAGATATGACATCTATATTATTGAACGTTCTAACGTAACAAAAACGACAAAAATACCCCAATAGATCAGAACAGTTAGTAGCAAGTATGAGCGTAAACTATGTTTTGTTTCTCGTTCCTAACGCAACCAATTAGTTTCTCGCAAACATAGCAGAGGGAGAGTTACGTAATGTTGCAAAAAATCGATGTCCAAATTTTGACGGAAGTACTTTTTTGGGGGTCCATAATACAAGAAAAGTGTTTTCATCTCTTTTTTCACTCTCGCTACCGCTTACACTGTAGAGAGAAAGTTATATCATCGGCGAATTTTTGGTAGAAAAACTCTTATTGCCGGGTCCGGGTAACGAAAAATTGGATAAATCCTTATGCTAAATTTAGAACAAAATCCTCTAATACCTGGTGTAGCAAGAATCCATGTTTTGTAGATGTCATGATACTACTAACAAATGTACTGACAGAATAATGGCAGGCTTTTTTTGTCTATTAGTCTGTGGACAACGTTAGCGGCTGGACCGTTCAGCCGATTTTCTCCAAAATTGATATTCTCTACTCGATCTGGCTGGTGTCGCGGCCTCTTGAATATGAAATCGATACTTTAATTTTGGGAAGTTCTTTACATGAAGACCCTGGGACGTTATCAAAATTTTAAAAAAATTGCTCCATTGTTTTTTATTAAATTTTCTTGTTAAATAATGTGAAGGACGTTTAAGAGAATGGTGCAAGTCTCATGTACGTTAAAAGCTTTGATTTCTCGAAATTTGAAAAGATTTTTTCGGCGTCGTCCTACAACTACAATTTAGGTAGAAGTTATTTTCCTTAGTGATATATATTCTTCAAAGATATACTTTGAAATAAGGTCACGTACAATTTTTGGAAAATTTGAGCGCTTTTCGAGTAATTTTGCGTGAAAGTATGTACTGCTTAGGCCCAACTAGTTTCTAAATGTATGTCTGGCTGTGAACAACGCTAGCGACAAAACCGTGACACCAGCAGAGGACGCTCATGGCCACTCCAGTGACTCTGACCGGAATGTCCTAGGGTGGGAGCCCCGACGCGCTAGCGGATTTTTGGAACTAGCTGGTCAGCTGAGTTCAGCGTTACTCCACCCGGGATTTTCTTTGTGAAGGTACGGGGACTACAGGTGTGTTTAGCCCGCATGATTTTTTCTTCTTAAGATTTTTTCTTTTATGCTAAATATAAAATATATTTTATTTATTGACTTACTGTTAATATTTGAAACGTAAACAATTTATTAATTGAAAATGACTTTCGTTGTTATTGCATATTACTAAAAGCTACATTTTTTAGTATTTATAATTTATTTCGGGGGAGGAGCGATTGAAACCCCATGGATACGCCACTGGTTTGGTCGTGGTTTGTTCACTCAATACCAGACAGTATCCTGAAAATGGGTCACGACGCCCCTCCCACAATATTTCCTTCCTTTCATTTAAGCCACCCTCTCCCCTTACACACACACACACACAAGCACATATATTTACATGCATTACACTACCGCGACATATCAGGAGATCAGTCGGGAACTTGTAGTTGGACCTGGGGCCTACCGGGGGAAATCCCTGGTGGGGGGGACTTCTCGCAAGCTAACATGCAGGTCGGCGTCGGATCTCATATTCTTGCAGCGAAGGAATACCGTCACATCTCGGGATAAAACATGTACTACACTTGCGGGACTACTGTCTGTATCAGTGGGCGCACCCAGAAACACCAATCATTATTATTTTTTACCTGATTTTGAGTCAAAAAGTCGAAATAAAAAACGTAAATCTCGTTTTCGCAAAAATAGCTTCAAGTTTTCCCTTATCTCTTCTCAATTAGAGAAATATAGTATACCTAATAATATAGCTTAGGTATAATTTTTATTTTTTTTTTATTTGGAATTTTTAAAATGACAAAAGGTCTATTTTTTTCGAATATGTTCACCTGCAATATAAAGGTTTGATTGGTACAATATATTCCTTAATAAATCTCTTTAAGTTATTTTATGTTTTGAAAATATTACTATTTCCGTTTAATTTTGCGTTGCATGGTGACAATGTCAAAAATTGATACATTGGACTTTATTTTAGAGAAGAATGTAAAATAGGTCTTTAAATCACTGACAAATATTTATGCAAAAAAGTCGATCTTTACATTTTCTTATATTTCATACGTAGTAGAAGAAAGTATTATAATGCTGCAGTAAAACCCGGCGACATTTCGGCAGCAAAATGTGTTTTACCTAATACCGGAAAGATAATTCATCTTCCTACATGTAGTAACATGTAGTTTGAATCCCCGTTTTGATCCTGATTCCAATTGTTTGCTTTACAACGAAACGTTCCTATGTCTGTCTATGAACAATGGTAGCAAACTAAACTAAATGCAGAATTTTTATCAAAAATAATATTCACCCATCAACTTGGCGTAAGCCGCTGCCTCCTAAATTTAAAAAGAATCAATTTATTTTTGGAGAACTTTACAAGACGCCTCGATAACATTTTCAAAATTTTGTGACTAACCATCCAGATTTTTTTAGATAAATTAAAAGGCGCGGATTCGCTTTTCCTTGCACTCTTTAAATTTTAGAAAATTATAAAAGTACACATTTTTTCGATAAATATTGTGTTCGCGTAATTTTGCATGCAATAAAACGCAAATGTAAGATAAAGTATTGCTCATTTCTTCTCAATTTTTTCTTTAATTTTTCTAATAGTGTGTAAACATATAAAAAGTTGCTAGCCATATGGTAAAAATGCAGCTAGTCATATTTCGTTGATTTCAATGAATTTTTGAAAATTGTAAATATATCAAATAATTGAGAAAGTATGGGTTGATTTTTGCACCCTTGTTTATTTTTCGCATAATTATTTACGTTACCCTATACGTACTGAAGGGAAAGTATGTAATGATGCAGCAGAAAGCAGCTTTTGAACAGAAAAACTAGTTCTATGGGACCCCGACACAGAAAACGTCATCTACCTCAACTAGATAACTTTTTCTAACACGTTATGTAGTCAGAATTTACATATTGTTGGTCATTGATACCGAAAAATCGGTTTACGGTAAAACCTCTCTGTGTCCGTCATTCCGTCTGTCAGACCAACATCCGTCCGTCTCCCGTCTGTGAGTTGGTCCATCTACCGATCAGTAGGCCCATCATCTTTCTGAAGACTGTTTTCTTAGAAATGGCTCCATTTTTTTCTTTTAATGGTCTCCTGAAGTGTAACAACAAACGGTATAGAATGTGGTGCTAATTTAATTTTTCGGCGAATTCTGTATTTTCGAAAATTCCAAAACATTAACATTGCAAAAGTACAATATTGAAGGTAGAAACATTTTGTGAAATAAAATGATAAAAAAATATGTTTCTTTAAAAAATGTCATATTCACTTAAAACGCGTAGTGTAAGTAATAATGCAAATTTTCCAGTTTCCAAATTCAAATTTCGTGCACATATTTTCCCGAAATATTTTGGGAATTATCACTTTGCAATAATATGGAAATGCCGCAGATGGCAATTTGAAATTCTCACAATAACTTATCGTGCGGGCGGTGGTGTTGAGTATATGGAACGGAATTTTGGTGTGTCAAATTTGTGCTGAGGGATTACCATTAAATAGTCTAAATTTTCGCGAGTAATGCGCTGCAATTCGAATGAATTTTACAAGTGATTGGTGATATCTGTTAATATGGACAGAAATTGCGATATTATAATTTTACGTAATCGTTACTGATACGAGAAAGTATGTTCTGTTGTGTACCACCGCATGGTATTAACATGAAATTGATTATATTTATAACTACACGAATTTTCTAAATTCAAGACAGTATCCACAAAATAAGAGGTTCTTTGTTTCGAGTGTAAATGCTAATATTATATCTCTGACATTCTCTCAGCAAAAAAAAGGTGACCTACATGCACAGATACAGCAAATGACATACAGCATCCACCGCGGAAATTCCTGAAAATAATGTAATAACAAATCTAAAAGTGAACACTTTTGCAAAAATTGAGATGTTCATGTGAAGAACGGTGATCGAACTTCTCACTGATATAGCATAAGACAACAGTTAGTGAGATTTGTAGAAATTAATTTTACTGCCATTTATGAACGGTTGCAAGAACGCGAATGGTTTACAAAAACAGTTGTATACCCAATTAATGATTTTGAATGAAAGCCGATAAACCAGTAAGAGCTATTGAACTTGGACAGATTTTAATTCTCAACAATCAAGTAAAATTAAGAGTCGTGAAACTGAAAGTCTGTGCATATATGAATTGTCATTACATTACCTTCGTCGCACCTTGAGCGTGCATGTTAAAAATACAGCTCGTCATAAAAGAAATATTAAATAAAATACATCGGCGAGTAAAGTAAGAAGAAAAAAAACAACACATTTTTAAAATCAGAATTTCTGCTTGAAAAGCTTCCCAGTCGGGCTTAATAATAACACTCCTTTGTGATGAAATCAGTGTGATAATTGTTATGAATAAATTGAGTAGAATTACAGTGTGGCCTTTGGTCCCCGTGACTTCTATATCCGCTACTCGGAAGTTTTATTGGGTGAGTGGAGGTGGTCCCTGAGCGGTTGATATCGACATCCCGCGAGAGGATACAACTTTAAAAAGGATGACTCGATTAACAGATCGATTGTAAATCAATTGCCAAATTTTACTGGCCAGACAATAATTGATTATACCGATCGATGAGTGATTCCTAAACTAATTATACCAGATCCATTGTTTACACGAAATATTAATGATGTTGATAATTAATTTTTGTTATAAACAGCTTGAAAATATCTAATAATAACTTACAAAACCACTCATATTGTGAAATTTCAAATCCTTCCCATACAATTAATAAAAATAAAAAAATTTGTGCAATTAGAATGTAATACTTTATAAAAATTAAAGTGTAAATCTTTATTTATATCTAAATAAAATGGAATGTGCGAATATGTGTTGCACATAAACGCAAAAACTACTTGATTGATTTCGCCAAAATTATCACTTTATTTTTATTGGTAATGCTAGTGTTAGAAGAATGGTTTGAATTAAATGGGACATGTTGGGGCGTTGTTGATTTATTCGTTTATGACGACGCAAGCGGCCCTGAATTATACGCAGCCCGCCTCAAGTCAAAGATTACGCGTGTCTTCACGGTATAAGTATTCAGCCCTTACGGTTGTGAAATATATGTCGGAATTATTACTTGAATCTCGAGCAAGTAAATCTTCTCCAAGATAGTGTCGCAGCAAACCCATTCGAGGGAGCCAACCAAATTCGAGGGAGAATGTTCTAGCAATAAGATGACAACCATGTAAAACGTGATTAACAAAATACGTGACCAGTAGCGTGTGAAGTGTAATATCCACTGTCATAACAAAGTATTTCCTGGGTCCACTAGTAACAATATAAAAATAATAAAACGTTTGTTCGTATTGTTGGAGTAATTGTTATGTTGAAGGGAAATTGTTTTGCGTTACGCATGCGCTGCCTCACCTGCTCCCACCGCCAGCAGCTGGCGCAGCGCCGTGCGCCATGGCAGCGCGTCGCCCGTCACCGTCATCGCCGCCCGCCGCCTTTGAAGCACTGCCGCTCTGCTCCGTACCGCACCACGCCGCGCGCGCTCTCTCTTTCGCCGACCGTCCCGTCCCGTCCCTTCCTCTCCCCACTCGCCCGCGGCCACCCTTTCGCAAGCCCACGGCGTCGCGTCGCCGCCTGAGCGACAGCAGCGGCCCGCGCGGTCCGCAGGCTGTGTGTGTCCTGCCGTTCTCTCCGGGTCACTCGCGTTCGCGGCTCGCAGTGTCTCCGCCCGTGCTCTCCTGGTCACTCGCTAACGCGGTCCGCGAGCTGTTGGCTCGGGGACCTGTCTTACTCTCCCAGTGGCTGCCAAACGTGCGCAGGTTCTCTGGGCTTCTTCTGCCCCCCTAGTCACTCGCCAACCCAGTGTGTGTGCCTGTCTTACTCTCCCGCTGGCTCGCGAACGCCGTCCGCAGGCTCCGTGTCTCGTGGCCCGCGGTCGGCAGGCTCTGTGTCCTCCCGTACTCTCCCAAACACTCGTGACCTCCGCCTGCCCATCGAGCGCTTCCGGGCTGCTTGGGGGACGCGTTCGCCGGCGGCCCTCCGTCCCTCGCGTGCTCTCCGCCGCGCCTGTCACCCGGCGATTGCGACCGCCCCCCGTTGGCCACTCAGCGCCGCAGATTTTATCGGACCGCGCTCGAGAGGCGCCGTGTGAGTAAACAATAGCTGAGATTGCCTTCGCGATCCGGGAGTCGATTAGATGGGTGCGGAATCGATAGATTGCATCTGCCCAGCTTCGCGCCCACCCGCCCGCCGACCCACGTCTTTCTGGTGCGAGGGGGATCCTTTCAAGGTGCAGATGGTATTTGGAGCCCTCGGAATTGAGTTGCAGAGGCTATTATTAGTCGAGTGTTGTTAGGTGTCGGTGAAAGGCGCTGTTTTTTGTTGTAATTGGTGGAATGGATCGCGTGACTGATTGAATGCAGGAATTCCCCTTTCGATAAAAACATTTGTACACGGTTTTAAAGAGTGTGTATATTGACTTGTATCTAAAAAGACATTAGAGAATGCTTATTAGACCCAGAGAATGACCCTTAATCATACAAATTTATCTATTTGTTCCGTTCCTTCTTTTACTTAATAAGAGTTCATCTTTGGTAATTTAATTTTAATATAAAGTAAAAAAATCAAATTTGAATAGCATATTTTTAACATTCCACTTAGTATTTATCACACAAACATCCATTCTATTTTTGATAGTCGCATGTAATTTGTTGTGAATAATACGCATAAAGTTCACGTTTTTAACATTGCCTTTTTTGAAATAAATAGTAAGCATAAGTTACG